ATCTCCACATTTACTGCCCACTTGATAGATACCATAAATATGTGTGCACTCTATGTTAACCATAAATTACGGCTCGCAGACTTGGTTTCGGTTAACTGAACTCTGAAGTAAGTCCCCGTCCCGCAGAAATCCTCCTTTTTGGTCCTCCCCTCAGTCCCACTCCATCTCACTCACTGACCAGCGAGTCAGAACGGCTCGATTAGCGATAATATCTCGTCGCATTGTCATAATTCTTGGCCTGGGCAAGAAGAGCGTACAAAAAGCCATTAAAATCTCAATGCCACTCAGTCCAGACCCGACCCCCTCTTGGGCGAGCTTAGCTTTCTTCTAATCATCTGCCAATGACAATGACCCCAGCGCAACCAAGTTTGTTTACTGGCCAGAGCTTCTGCTTCTGCTTTTGCGGCTGCTGCCGTTGATATATTGGAGCGTTTTGTGTTTATCGAATGCCATCATCTAATTTTCATTAACTTGTTTTTCGCATACAATAAATCTTTCGTCCTCGTTTTGAGGGTCCTCGAACCCGACCCTCAAGCCACAAGATCAACATAAAAACGCTTGAAATACGGTTAGAGTTTGATGAGTGTATAGTGGATCAGCTTTGCAAAAGTGGGAGAATAGTTTTAGACACCTGAACAAACTTTGATGAAGCTAATTTTTATACCCTTGCAGAGGGTATTATAATTTTGGTCAAAAGTGTGCAACGCAGTGAAGGAGACATCTCAGACCCTATAAAGTATATATATTCTTGATCAGGATCACCTCCTGAGTTGATATAGCCATGTCCGTCTGTCCGTCTGTCCGTCTGTCCGTCTGTCCGTCTGTCCGTCTGTCCGTCTGTCTGTCCGTCTGTCTGTTTCTACGCGAACTAGTCTCTCAGTTTTAAAGATATCGAATTCAAACTTTGCACACACCCTTCTTTCCTTTGCACGCAGTATATAAGTCGGAACGGCCGGGATCGGCCGACTATATCCTATAGCTGCCATATAACTGATTGATCGGAAATGCCATAACTTTGGTGTTTGTCAAGTTAGGAAGTTGGGACTTTCTATGGATTTTATATTTGGCCAATCAATCCGACGTACCAAATTTCATAAGGATCGGACGACTATATCTTATAGCTGCCATATAACTGATTGATCGGAAATGCCATAACTTTGGTGTTTGTCAAGTTAGAAAGTTGTGATTTTCTATGGGTTTTATTTTTGCCCAATCAATCCGACATATCAAATTTCATAGATCGGCCGACTATATCCTATAGCCGCCATATAACTGATTGATCGGAAATGCCATAACTTGGGTGTTTGTAAAGTTAGAAAGTTGGGATTTCCTATGGGTTTTATTTTTGGCAAATTAATCCGACCCACCAAATTTCATATGGATCGGCCGACTATATCCTGTAGCTGCCATATAACTGAACGATTGGAAATGCCATAACTTTGGTGTTTTTAAAGTTAGGAAGGTGGAATTTTTTATGAGTATTAAGAATGCATCATATGAATAATTTTGGAGAATATATCTTGCAGAATATTCTGCAAGGGTATTTCAACTTCGGCTCCGCCCGAAGTTAGCTTTCCTTTCTTGTTTTTAATTTAATTTATTAAATTAATATTTTGAAAAACAATCGAAATCATCCAAGAAAATAAAAATTTAAATCTATACAAAATAAGATTATCAATTTCTATGCGTATAAAATTTAAACATGAGAATGCTATTATTGGGAGTGATAAGTATTAAGAAATACGGATACCGGAGACTGGAATCAGCCATATTTTTTATCGGACCCCCGCATCAAGATTGACGGCAACAGTCATAGCTGAGTACTCCAATGCTGCAACATGCTCAAAGGACTGGGGGCTGAGCACTCGGCCACCCATTCGGACGCAGCATTATTAGCCAAGTTTACAGACACATTTGTCAATTTTATGGTGCCAACAGGACGATGTATGACTTCCAAGCTTTTCGGGGCGAAACGATGCCGCATTGCAATTATTATGAATCATTTTCCGGACAGCTTCACTGGAGAGCTGGTGAAAGGGAGTGCAAGGGGTCGACAGATCTCTTTTCGGAGGGGTGAAAACTTGAGGAAAGGGGAGGCTGAGTTAATTACCGTCAACTCATAGCGATGTGAACTTTTTTAATTCATTTGGCAAGTTTGGCATACATTTCATATTTCTAGACTCCGATACTCTTTCAAAGGGTAACATAATGTTCTCCATAGTCACCGAAACTATTGTTTCCTTAAGCCCGTTTGGCAACCTTCATGTTTCAATTAACAGGGGTAAACACCAGTAGTTTTATGTGTTATTCTTATTTTTTTGCTATTGTTATGTAGAATGCCTGTATGTTTTCTGCCTTCATTTTGGAACGCAACAGCCTGCCCATACAAAATATTTGATTAAGGGTATTTCAAGACTTTTAGTTCTCACTGAGAATTTCTCATTACTTTTGTTTCTGTTTCCCGGCGGTGATCGATGACGGCATCGGCTTGACCTCTTGAGTGTGTCTGATTTTATTGGAAAAGTTTTCCTAGCGGCACCTCAACCTCACCCCCACTCCATCCCACCCCGCGTGCAAATCATATTTTATGGCTATCATTATTACCTAATTTTTATGCTCTTCCGAAGGAAAACTGCTGCTGCTCCATCTGAGGAAGAAAACTTGGTCCTGTCTTCTTGGGCGAGAACCTTGTTGCACATTCCCCAGCCCATGGAAATTTTCCTCGACTGCCTGGGCGCTGATAAAAGTTTTTCTTCTTTTCCTTGTTCTTTTCCACCCTTTTCCTCAGTTTTTACTGATTTTTTGGAATTTTAGTTTTGCATTTAAGCGAGCATGGCAGACAAAATGCGATTGCTTATTTTTCATGGCGGATAATGAATGATATATTGGTGGCAACAATCTGGGTCGCCATGCTGGAAAAACGGGGGTTGCAATTATTCAAGCTATTTGTCAGCACAAACTAAAGACAAAGGGAAAGAAAGTGGATGGAAATTGGTGGTAATTAGCCAAAACTTAAAACATGACTTTGATAGGAGCCAGAATGAGATATGGAGTAGGGACTAATAATGAGCAATAAGAAAAAAAGTGAGAGACGGCCACCAACAGTGTTTTAAATTTATATAGACTTAAGAAGATAGTTTCCGATGGGGTGAATTAATTACACTTCATTTTCTTTTCGCATGAATATGGAGCATAGACAAGTTGTATTCATTTTTAATATGGCCAACGTAAGAATTTAAATTCGAAACAACAAACTTAATTCACCCCAACATCTGGAATTGAGGAGACGACAACTTGATCACTGTTCGCCCCAAAATAAACTTCAAAGTTATAGCCATGAAACCTAAACTGTCAAACGGTGGATCTGATAACTGATTTGTGCGATAAGCCAGCTTTCAATTCTCGATTTCGTGTATAAAGCACACTCCCTGGCATTTTGGCCAAGGCCAAAGAACTCACTGAGCACACATGTAGTCACAGACACATAAAGTAAATACATAATGTTGGGCAAACGACTAATATGCGATTATGGCAAATCAAATGCTCCTCCAAAATCAACACAGGGCGGAAAAAGGCGAAGGGACTTTTCAACATTTTGCACATCTGTTCGAATCCCATTTTTTCGTTCTCTTTTTTTCGGGCCAGACATGGTTGGGCGAAGAAAAAAGTAAGTACAAACCCAAATATAATAAAAATCAGGGGACAGTCCGCAGGAGTGAGTGGGAAGGGTGTGACATGTCTGCCTGTCTGCTGGGGCGAGGGATGAGGGTGGGGAACGGGCATCGAGCAAAGGTTACTGACACAGCACGCACATTGACCTTGATCGCAGTCAGCGCTGATTTCTAAGCAGGAATGGCAGGGAAACGGGAGCAGAAGTGTCGGCATCAGGAGGAAAAGAAGGTCTACACCCAGGACACGGGACAGACAGAATAAATTATTTGCCAATTTATTTATATTCCCAACCTACCGCATTGTTACATCACGTAAGTATTAAGGTCGAGGGGTATTCAAGGGTGGAGCGGACACAAAGAAGGCCCAGCAAGAGGTCTTAACCCATAAGCAAAATAAGTGAGGACAAAATTTGGATGCAATATTAAATATACATTTTCATATACACATATATTATAATTATTTATAAACCAAAAGGAAATACATTTAGTTATCGAAAATATAATAAATAAACGTTCCCTTTGGCACTCAAACATAATTCCTATATCCATAATTTAGGTCTAACCTTAATTAATATTGACAACATCTAAACATACAAACATATAATTAAATGAAAGTATCTATAAGTAAATTTGACCTCATATAACTTATGCACATATAAGTGTGATGGGCAAAAGTCCACTGACAGTTCAAAGTCAAAACAATGCTCTTACGATAATAGTGATGCAGCAAACCTTAAATCAACATTAATTAATTTTTAAAAGTTTAATTGCGTAATACTGGCAATTTAGGTATATTTCCATTCGAAGCACCCTCCCTGAAAACAAGTCCTACAGTTCCGGATGGCAATTTGAAATATTCGAAACATCTAATTATATGAAAACACCTAGAAATAAGCTCGAGCTGATATGACTTATGCACATATCAGCGAGATGGACAACAGTCCAGGCCACTGAAAGTTCAAAGCCATAACAATGCTTTAAAATACCTATTATCGCGATGCAGCGAAAACGCGACAGTCACCGTCGCCAATTGCCGATGATCGGCAATTACACAACAGGAACGCGTTGGAGGCAAGCGCCTCAATCGTTGGTCGTTATCTTATCACCACCTGGCTTGACTGGTCTCTGCTCCACTGCAGAAGCGATCGGACTTGGATGACAGCATCCGAAGATAAGGCGACCAGGCTATTTTCGGACGGGACCTATGCGACGACCTATGCTGATGGCGGCGAGTCTGCCGCTGATATGGTGCAATGCAAGGCCCATTCTCGGGGGTATATAAGACACAGGTTGGGTGCAGTTAAGACAACAGACTTTAGGTGTTGGTCGTTGAGCGAACCAAAGCCGGAGCAGTTGAAGAATCAAAGAGCAGGAACGAAAGGACCAAGGATGAAGCTGACCCTAGTGATACTGGCCCTCGTGGGCTGTGTAGCCGCATTCAGCGTGCCCACGCAGAAAGTGAAAATCGCCGACAAGACCTTCCTGGAGAGGCAAAAGTTCCTCTTCGAGATTGTCCACCGCATCGATGAGCCGCTGATGTTCGAGGAATGGATCAAGATGGGCCAGAAGCTGATCACCGAGAAGGCTCAGTATGAGGTGAGATTTTCAAGTCCTTCGATCCCTTTCTAGCAACCATCGAAAACAAATGTGTCCTTTCCCCCTCAGACTTTCGACTTCTACATGGAGAAATTCTGGGAATCCTACAAACTGGGAGCTCTGCTGCCCAAGGGAGAGTTCTTCGGCGCTCTGGTCAAGACCCACCACAAACAGGCCTACGGTCTGTTCAACTTCTTCTTCTACGCCAAGGACTGGGAGACCTTCGTCCGCAACGTCGCATGGGCTCGCATCCACGTGAACGAGGGCATGTTCGTCTACGCTCTGACCCTGGCCGTCATCCACAAGCCCGAGTTCGAGGGACTCATCCTGCCCCAGATCTACGAAATCTTCCCCCAGTACTTCTTCAACAGCAAGTTCGTGTACGCCGCCGAGAAGTTCGACTATGAGGTCTTCAGCAAGCTCACCATGTACGAGAAGGAGTACAAGGACATCCTGTACAAGGACTACAGCGAGTTCACCGGCAACTTCTACTTCTACACCAAGGACTGGAAGACCTTCCAGTGGTACAAAATGATGGGTCTGGACCAGGAGTGGTACGTTGAGGACAAGTACTTCCTGCGCGAGAACATCGAAGAGTTTGTCAAAGAACCCAAGTACGTCGATGTCGTCAAGGGACTGAAGAAGTTCTTCATGCCCGTGGACTACACCCGTGACATCTCCTTCTTCAACGATGAGACCAAGATGACCTACTTCACCGAGGATCTGGGCTGGAACGCCTACTGGTACTACCTTAACATGGACTACGCCTTCTTCCTGAACGGCAAGCAGTTCGGTTTGGACAAGGACCGTCGCGGCGAGTACTGGATCTACAATGTGCAGCAAATTCTGGCCCGTTACTACCAGGAGCGTCTGGCTAACGGTTTCGGCGAGATCCCCGAGTTCTTCTGGTACAAACAGATCGAGTACGGATACGATCCTCAGCTGATCTACTACAACGGCATTGGCTACAGCTACCGCAAGAACTACTACGACTTCTACACCTACGGCAACTTCGAGATGTACAACCAAGTCCAGAACTTCTTCAGCCGCGTCTACAAGACCCTGGAGACCGGATTCTACAAGACCGCCGACGGTCAGGTGTTCGACCTCCACAAGCCCGAGGCCGTTAAGTTTGTGGGCAACTACCTGCAAGGCAACGCCGATACCTTCGACAAGTACTTCTTCAACTACTACTACATGCTGGCCCATATGTACTTCGCCGATGTCGACTACACCGACATGGAGGTCTTCCCCAACATCTTCCTCAACTTCGAGACCATGCTGCGCGATCCCTTCTTCTACACCTTCTACAAGAAGTTCACCGATGTGTTCTACACCTTCAAGTACTACCTGAAGCCGTACACCCAGAAGGACCTCTTCTACGAGGGCATCACCATCAAGAATGTGGCCGTCAGCAAGCTGGTGACCTACTACGACATTGTGGACTTCGATGTGACCAACCTGCTGAACGACAAGATGACCTTCGTCGACGGCCAGTACGTGTGGGACAAGGCTCTGCTGGCCCGCCAGGCCCGCCTCAACCACAAGCCCTTCGACTTCGAGTTCACCATCGATTCCGACAAGGTGCAGAAGGGCGTTGTCCGCGTCTTCCTGGGACCCAAGTTTGACGAGTACGGCCGCGTGATCCCGCTGGACTACAACCGCAAGAACTTTGTGCAGATCGACAACTTTGTGTACCCCTTCGTTGCCGGAACCAACACCATCAAGCGCAGCTCCAAGGAGTTCACCTGGACCGCCGAGGACAGGATCACCTACACCGAGCTCTACAAGTACGTGATGCTGGCCAGCGAGGGCAAGTACGACTTCCCTCTGGACATCAGCGAGCCCCACAACGCCTTCCCCGACCGCCTGGTTCTGCCCAAGGGATGGGAGCAGGGTATGCCCATGCAGTTCTACTTCTTCGTGTCGCCCTTCGCCGAGGAGTACGAGCAGTTCTCCAACTTCGACTACACCTACTCCTCGGGAGTTGGCTCCGGCACCCGCTTCGTGGACTCCAAGCCCTTCGGCTATCCCTTCGACCGCCAGATCGATGAGTACGACTTCTTCGTGCCCAACGGCTTCTTCAAGGACGTCAAGGTCTACTACGTGGACACCTTTGCCAAGTACTTCGAGAAGAAGTACGAGCAATTCGGCACCTTCGACTACTCCATCGAATACTAAGCAGCACTGGATCTAGGTCTTAACCTTCACCTTAACTTTAAATATTGCAATGCCCAAGGCAAAAAAACCCATACCAAAAAAATAATACGAAAACGAATTAAACAATAAAGAAATACTAAATAGTTAAACCTTGCCTAGTTTTATTTCATTCAGCTGAGTCATCATCATTCATATCACCTAATATAAGACGAGGTTATCGGCAAGAGTTCAGTGGATTTTTGACTCTCTACTAAATTTCAAATTCTATTTTTCTTTAGATCCCTCAAACTTCCGAAACTAATACTAATAATGGTATATAAAAATATTTAACAGCTTTTCGTGATTAAAATCATTTTAACTTATTTAGATATTTTAGGAATGGCAGATTTTTTTGAGAAAAAATAATTTAGCAAGACATCATATATACATGGGTGTTGTGTTTTTTTTTTATCTTTTGATAAAATGAAATTTCTTCATATTTTTAGATCACCTGAAGCATAATTTGTTTTGCGTTCTGAACAAAGTAAAATCGCCTTGGGGCACAACATGGGTTAAGGCTCGTCCGGCCGTGTCCGAATCGAAATGAAACCGAAAACTGGACGCTGGAGTCCCTTTTTTCGGTGGGACTTTGGTTCTTCTTGTGTTTCGCTCGGTGGAAAGAAAGAAAAAGTGTAATAAAACGCTGAACCCTGCAAACGAGCAGTGGAAGATGGCAGAAGGGCGAGGTCCTTTGGCAGGAAACGCCAAAGGTTCGTTAAACTTTCAACGCCGGCTAAGCCCGAAACGAGTCCTGAGTCCTGTCTCCCGTCTCCTGCCTCGCATTTGTTCTTCCCCGTCGTCTGCGGCTCAGCTTCTGGGAGGCGGAGGGAGATGGAAGACAGGCGCGCTCGTGCGCCGCTTCCTGGCCACGCACAAAATATCGACGCACTTTTGAAAAGTCCTTGGGTCCCGGGTCTTTCCCTCATTTGTATTTGGTGCGTCACTCCTGCCAGCTTGTGGGTATCGTCTGGCGGTGAGACGCAGGAACAACAAAATGTAAAAAAAGAAACGTAAAATAAAACAAAACTGCCTGGAGCAGCAACCACCACCAACAACATCAGCATCGAGTGGAGTGGAAAGGAATGGAGTGGAGTGGAGTGGTTTTGGTATGATATGGTGGCAATCCAGTCAAAGACCTAAAAAAAAAACACAGACCATGCCTCGCCTTTTGTCCATGTGCGTGTGCTCCGCCCCCTCTTTCAAGAGTTTTGTCTAGAGCTCCTTGGACTTCCTGGTGCGTAAGGAGGCAGTCGCGCACTTCATTCAATTCAAATTACTTGAGCTTGTCTTGGCCCCAGCTCCCGTTTTAATTGCCCGGCGGGCGCAGGGACTCTTGGCCGGGTTGCTTAGCCCATAAATTATAAACATTTGCCTAAACTTCTCCCTCATTTTGTTTGCTCTTTGCCAAGGCTCAACATATTTTAATTAAAATATAATTAAAAATAAATATCTGAGTGAGTCCTGCAGACTGAAGTTCTTTAATATTTTTGTCCCATTCCTTTTCTAAAAATATTGACTTGATCTACTTTTAGGCAGTTTTATTAATTAAGTTTGATTCAGAAAATTTTAATTGTATTTGCATTTTGGAAACAGTCGATTATACTGAGAAGCCCTTTAGTTACAAACTGAATAATACAGTAAACCTATATTCTATTTTTTAATATTTAGTTAAGGAGAAAATATATCAGGAAAAACGCACCAAGTGCCTTTCCCGCTAAAAGTTTTAAAACTTCATCATCAGCAACAATAAACAGAAGAGCATGATTGTGTCTTTTCGGACGCCACGCCCCGCAACTGTACACCACATGTGGCTTCTTCCGCCCCTGAACCCCTCTTAACACCCTTCTGCCGGCACTCTGCTCCTCTTTCGACCATTTTGCTGCGTTACTCTGCACGCATTTTGTGTTTTGTTTGCTGTCCACAAATTAGCAGTCGACGACCCCAATATCAGTTTACGACCAGAGAATGGCAGAGCACAGAGCCAGAAGCTCGAAAAGCAGGGAATGAATCCAGTGTGAAGGGGGACCGGTCCGATTCCCGTTTCATCCTCACCTTGCGGCTGTTTGGGCTGGCTGGCCAGACACCGAAGAACTAAAGAACCCCAGAGCCCACGAACCCCGAAGGCAGCTCCCTCTCGTCCCGCCTTATTGCACGTAATGATGTTGCCACAGTTTAGAATCGTTCGCTTGTCGCTCACAATAAAAACAATCTTACACATTCACAACGACACAAGCAGGGTCAATTAATCAGCATCAAAAACGTAGTATATGAAATAATTGTTTATTGACCCAAATAAGCCCATACGTTCTCAATTAATTAATTAGTAAACATTTTTCTCACCAGTTTAAGATATCTAGATAGTCCATCCTAACAGCAGTTACTGTATTTTTCCGTTTAGACTGTATTTATATTTTCGATGCAAGCTAGTGGCTCTACTATTTCAACCGCATCTGTAGGCCCACTGAGAGATTGGCCATACCCCACTCATTCTCAGGGGCTTCGGGTTTCGAGTCGGGGGTTTGTCTCTGACTTCGGCTTCTGGCACTTGGCTTTCCACATTCTGGCGCGTCTGTTGGCCTGTTCCTGTTGCCCTGTTCGTTGCCGTTCTGGTTTTTTTGCACTCGTGCCTCGGGTGCAGCCCCTTCTGCACCGACACACCCCCTTCTGCCACACCCCAGCTCACCGCCAAATGGTTCTTGCTCGTTCTGTTTTGCTAGCGAAGCTCACAACACAGAGTTTTCCCGCCAAATGCCTCGAAACGGGGGAGCGAAAAGCAAAATAAACCAAACCAAACCGAACCGAACTCAACTGAACCGAGCCGAGTGCAGCAGACAATACCACATGGCAAGTCCTAGGTCGGTTACACCACCACCACTGGTAAATGGCTATGGCACTGGCACTGGCACTGGTTCGACTCCACCACCAGCAGCACCACCAGAGCAGAGGCTCGCCGCAAAGGAGGGCAGGAGTTCGGAACCCGGACCAGACAGATGCGGGCCGAGGCAAGGATGAGGTTGAGGTTGAGGTTGCGTTGAGGTAGCTCACTGCCTCATTGTTATTCTGCTATTCCGCCGTTTCAATATTGAAATCGAAAAACGAAAATCATGAGCAATTCATGTGCACTGCACAAAAGAGTTGATTTAAACGAGAAACTAATATTATAATCGGATAGGGATATCATTTGGGAAGCAATAAAATTTTTTAAAAATTCCCTTAGGTTTCATAGCGACTTCTTATTTTGTAAAAATAATATTTCTCACTGCGATCACTATTTGGTTTAAGTGTATTTATTCTGACAGAAAGCCAAGAAACGTATTAAACGCATTTTAAATGTTAAAACGGATAATGATTCCATATAATACACATCAGATATACAAAGCAAATTTTAATTTGGAAAATGGGTATTGTTTTTTCCCGTGCTTTCCCATTCGTTTCACCCTCTAAATCCGTTCCGTTCCCACGTTCCCCGCTCGTGTGAATGAACCCGTCCAAGGACAATGATCTACGGCGGCTCAGACTCACAATCAGACTATCGGGCTCAGAGCTCAGGTCCACTTTGAAGACCACGCCTACCCAGCCAACGTTTTCGCTTTTATTTTCGTGTGCGATTTATTTGGCCGAGGGTTGATTTTTTACGACTGCGGCAACGGACAGCAGAAGAAGCAGAAGCACCCGGCGTCATTGACATTGCAAATTTGACGAGGGCAAAGCGGCAGAAGCAGCAACAGCAGACAAACAAAGCAAATCGTACAATTTTTACCATACCACCGCTTACAGCGTACCAGCCCTAGCAGTCTATCCCACTCCCATACCGCCCAAAGATCCCAAACCTCTGGATGGATGGATGCTGCAGACAGACGTCGACGGGGGCACCCAAAAAACACATGGACTAAGGCAGCGGCAGACGAAAGTGAACAATTCAAGTATGTAAAGGGGGTTATACTACATGAGGGTGGGGATAGTAGGGTGTTAGAAGTGGGTTGGTGAAAGTCCTTGTAGAGTTACAGTGTATGTACCATAGAGCAGACCCTAGATGTCTTGGTCGTCATAGTAGTGCAGATAGATCCTGATTCTCCGAAATTTAAAAGCCACCATATTAATTTTCTCTCTGTAAAATAGAATTGGCCTCAACTGGCGTCATTGGCCTGCGTCTGCTGGCAGCTGGATGCGTTACGTTATTAAATATTTAGCGACTCTATAAAGCACCCCCTCCCCTTGGGGCCCACCAAAGCTTGCCTTAACCCTTTCAATGCTATTGTCTACCTCGAAAGGGTAAAAACGAATACAAAGCTGATCCCTGACTCTTGTTGTTGTTGATTGAATCCGCTGTTTGTTGCTGGACCAGTTAGCGCCTCTCGTTCCCGTTGGCCGTATCTTTTACCGAAAAATTGCACCTGCCCTCGATGTGTAGTTTTGCACCTGCCCCATCATCATCATCGTCGCAAGCGGTGGAGTTGAAAGCATCGGCGACTGCCCCTGGTTTGGGTTTGTTTATTTGTTTGTCTGTTGTTGAGGTTATTTATTTTGGCATGTGTGTGATGGCCGGGAAGATTGATGCAAAGGGGCAGTTCAATGTCCTTTGTGGTCAACGGGATTAGTCAGTCATTCTAACGGAAAAACATAGCATAACCATAAGCTGCTACTAAAATTACTCCTAGGAACCAATCAATACTTTCCGTAGATTATCCCCATCAAATAACCTTTCAGACCAAAAGAAAACTCATCTTAATAGATCTCCACCATCTTTACGCCTTACTTATTTTCAATTTGCACGGTTTACTTTGCATTTTAAATGCTCAATTGTTGTCTATGTTTGTTAGGAGTATTAGGACGATCTCGAGGGATCTAGTCGACTTGGACAACGAAGTCAGCAAATGTCGTGATACTTAACAGGAGCACTCCAGCAGCGACATATTGGCAAACATGTTTATTTGCAGCCCCGAAAAGAACAAGGACCAGTGCTCGAGAAGGCGGAGTCCAACCCCCAAATCCGCCACCCAAGAAAACAAGAATCCAGTGCAGGCAGCCAGACGCATATTGTCATTGTCAGGAGAGGCAGACGCAGACGACGTCGAACAATTCGAGCAATTTCACTTCAAAAATTTGCGACGTTTAGCGCGCGATTGCCACAAATCAAAGCGACATTACCCAGCCTGCTCCTCCAATCCACCCCATCCCGCTCCCTTTCTTTTCAGCCAGCTATTTTAGATAAATAAAAAATCCCAAGAAATCCCAGAAGCAGTGGAAGCAACATATGCCCGCCAAATCAGAAGCAGACAAAACAAACAAAGACCAAAGGACAGACAGTTGAACGCAGTGAGAGTGAGACAAAGACCAAGAAGGACGAAGACAAAGACGCAGACAAGTCGCAGCAGAAAATGCTTCAACTACAACCACAACAAACCGCCCAATCTTCTTTAGTGAAAGGAAAAGTTAAAGGGGAGGCTAAAGCTGCAAGGGCTTAGAGATGATACAGAAACCGATAAATGATAGAGGACCTCTAAAAATTTAACGATTACCTACCTAACGATTTCAAGATTCAAAGCTGAAAGCATCAGAAATATCAAGGAAAGCTAAAAACGATAAACGGAGAAGTTTTTTTTCTATTCAACACTTCACATCTGAAAAATTATATAATTATGGACAATACTTAAGATTCTAAGCCTGGTACATTTTAAAAATATATAAGTTAAACTAAGAATACATATTGGCAATTTATGTAAGTCAAACGATGAATTGATATCAAACTTAGCGACACGAAGGTACGCATTCAACTCAACTCAATTTTGGCGGGAATCAGGGGAATCAAGGGGAGGCACCTGGGTCAGAGGCGGAGGTCGAGGAGGAGGTAGGACCCGCGTCTGCAGCTGTCGCCAAACGGGACGAATGTGCGTTAACGTAGACATAGCAGACGAGAGTATTCCACTCCAAGTAATTTGTGGTGCACAGTGAGGCGGCGGAGACTTTTTACCAGACGACAGCCATGAAATGATTGCCCTTCTGTCTCGGCCACTACCCCCCTGCTAAAATCTACGCGTCTCTGAACTTTGACCCTCAGACGATGCTGTTGCTGGCTCTGCGACTATGACTGTGACCTTTGTGGCCCTCTCCATTGCCGCCCACCTCGCACATCAAATTTTATGGCGCCTGTTTTGTTGCTGGCTTTGTTTGGCACTTTTTATGCGAAATTAATTTAGAAAACTTTTCTCGGAACAGAAACATACCCACTCAAACAGCGAACGATACGCAATTCACGTTTCCAGCGAAAAGGGGAGTGCCACTTATGGGGTTAGTACTTGATTCAGAGGAAGGGTTCAGAAAGGTCAAAGTTCACATACAAAAAAAAAGCAAAATCACAAAAAAAAAAAAAAATAATAATAATAATTATTTGAGGTTTAAATTTAAAAATATGATTTTTAAATAGTGTAAAATTCTACAATTAAACTAGTATTTTTGTAAATAATTGCAGTATTGTAAATAGTTTTTATTGCGAACAGCTCGATGCTGATATTTCTCATTTAAATTCTGAACTCATCCTGCGTTTTGATAGTTAGTTGGTGAAACAATGATAACAATAATTTGTATACATAAATGAATTCAGGAATCATCACCTTCTTGTTTTTGCCATGTTTTGAATCGCCTGTACCTTGGTGACGCAGAGGAAGAACTTTGAACTTGTTTATTTCGCTCATTAACTCATCTACTCCTCTCCGGCCAGGGACTCTTTCATGGTGGGTTAACAACCTTCTTAGTCATGCCTTCGATGTGTGATCCCTCAGCGATTGTCTGGAATTCCCCCATTCAACGATCGCGCACCACAACAACCGCTCCACCTCTCCTGGAAATCCCATCCCCACCCAATCTGACCGCATCCTGATCGCAATAAAAAGGTGGCATCTGTTAGATATAAAACCATCAAAACGAGACGCGATTCTTCACCTTCTTCTGCGCCTTCTGCGCCCTGCCATTGAAGCTTCTTCTGGTGGTGCATCGAACTCGGATTCTATGGGCCCTCTGCCTCTCTCCATCTCGTTTCACGTCCTATTTCCGTTTCACTCGCACCCCCAACGTTGGCCATATGTATTGCGAAAGAACAACAATAATTACGCCTCAGCTAGATCAGAGTCCGCGAAGAATTCTTCTGCTTTTTCGCGTTCTTTTTTTCGCACATGTTTTGGCGGGAGGCGGAAAGAGATGGCGCTAGGGGGTGGGACGGAGACGGGGCGACTTGAAACGTGGGAAGGCGCACAGGCGCATAAAAAACACCAAGCCGCAGACAGTGCAAAAACAACAAGCAAGAGACTTCAAAACGGGGTGTGAGATTCGGGGGGCCAAGAGCCAAGAACAGAAGACCCAAGGCAGAGGTCCAAAAACAGAACCAAATGGAAAATGGAATGGAATCGAATCGAAGCGCAGTTAAATGAAATTTGCTCACTGCGCCCTGTGTTTATGTGTTTGTTTTGTGTCTGGGCAACAAACACACATGCATAAACAATGATGAACGGGGTGAATGGACGCAAGGTGACGTCGCAGTCGACGCCACTGCTTCCTCTTCCTTCGGCTTGGGAAATTTGCGCGCCAAAATTATATCCCTCTTGCTACTCTTTTTAAGGCGCAGGTGCATTTGATTTAAGCACGAGTTCTTAATATTTTCAAAACGACCAAATTTTGCAGCTTATCCGAAATTAAACAATCTGATTTAAGTTTTAATTCAGTTACCAGTTTTAGTAAGAGGAAACTCTAAAACATTTAGGGTCAATGCAATATTTCTCTCTTTATCTAAAACCTACGTTTGCAATAACCTCTTTAATTGCTTAAAATATTATAATTTTCACAAGGAATTCATTCAGGTCTTAAGATTAGCCAAGATGCATCCGTATCTCTGAGAGTGTTCAAAACTTTAGGCCTTCCCAATTTTGCGCGCCAAAAGTGTTCCCGCCCTGACTATTTGTTTCGACGTTGACCAGACTACACACCACATATACCATCATACTATAGTCAAGGGAGAGCAAAAAAAGAGAGCCCCAAAAAGCAACTTGGCCATGGATGATGCGCCACAATGGGCGTGGCACTCGGTAGAGAGTCGGGGAGCGAGAATCGAGTGTCGAGTCAAGAGTCGAGGAACAGAAACAGGAGCAGAGAAACCATCCAGAGAAGTTTCGGCTTTGGTTCAATTCAGTTCATTTCGTTTCGTTTCACTCTGCTTCTTTCTCGCTTACACCCCCTTTGGGTATTTGTCTTTGGCTGTTTTGCTTTGATCCCCTTATTCTGTCTGGGGCACATTCGTTTTGTTTTTGCACTTATTGCCATTGCACTGCTCTTCGCCCGCCATTCGGTGTTCCCTTTTCCCGTTCCCAGATCTCTGGCCCTTTCCCCGTGTTCCCTACACAGAAAGGAAATATTTTCCAATATTTAAATTTAAATTGGACTTTTATAGTGAAATATTTACTTTTGTGTTGACATTTTAAAACTGTTTTTATTAACCAAAAAAAAAAATAAGCATCTGTGGAATTGAACTTGGTCATTTGTTACCAGAAGTTTCTTAGTATAGCCTTTGATAAACTTTTGCGAGGAATAGTGATTTGTTAATCTTTTTTTTTACTATGTACCCGATCCCGGAAAATTTCTTTCGCTCTATCTTTCCTTTCCCTGTACCTTTCCTCCCGTTCCATGTTCATATAATGACCCATCCCGCTCGTCATTCCCATTGTCGTTTGTTGGCTTTGTTTACAAGCATTTGATGGACCACTAACACCGCACTTTCTGAGGCAACCTCACAGATACACAAGCGCACACAGATACTCATACTGAAGCCCAGAATGCGCGGGATTTTCTTTCAGTTTTCCCTTTTTGCTATGGTGCGAATTATGAGGGAGCCCCCGAGAGGAAGAGAGGAAAACAAATGGGGAGAAAATTGTAATTCTCTTTGCTGGCTGTCATTCACCCACTCCCATCTTGGCTATTTCCATTACCATTGAGTTGGTTTCTTTATTTTTTTTATTAGTTGTACTTTATTGAATTCGCCGATTGAATGAATTGCTCAATGAGCTGCCCGCCGAAGACGTGCGGATGATGAGCAGCAAATTGGCCACGCTTTTCCCTGCCATTTTCCCTGAACCCTCGAGCTCTTATCCCCCTTTTCGAGTGCAAAGTGTCGTGGAAATGGGGCGTGAGTAGTGCCCAGAGTGGCGTAGATGAAATGCCAAAATGATGACATTTAGGTGGTGTACCAACATGGAACTAGATTTACTTGGGGTTAGCTTGGGCACTTCAGTTGGGGGATCCCAAAAGATGGTTGATTAACTAAAGGTCAACGAAATGTTGGTTAATATAAATAAACCGGTTTAAGAACAACAGATATTTAATAATAATAAGGCAAAAGAATACCAACTTGATAATAAGATATAATATCCAACGTTTTAAATTTTAAGTGTTTAATTTTAAATGGTTTCATAGCTAAGAACTCCTTTACAGATCCACACTTCAATCAGTACCACATCACAACCCCTAAACTATTCCCAACAAAGTAGCTCAGAATTACGAACAGCACGGGGCATAATCTGAATCTGAGTCCGAATCTAAGAAGCAACATTCTTGGCAGGATTCGGCATCCGAGTGAACTATGCATGTCCCTGAGGAGGACGACTGAAGAGCAGTGAAGAAGTAACTCTGCTCGGTTTCTGTGACCTCCATCTCCACATCTCCGTACCGCCTGGGAGATCCAAAGTTCTGCAGTTGAATGGCACGATTGACCAGTGCCCTCAGATGGATGTCCTCCTGATCCTGACAGGCCCTCAGTCGCTTGTACTCCTGCTTGTCCTTGTAGGTCTTGCACTTCTTGTACATCAATCGAGTCGACTCTGCCTTTAGGTCTTTAATGATCATGTTCTGGGTGTCAATCTCCTTGATCACCTCCAGATATTCCTTGTACATTGCCTGCTCTTCCTCGTCGTCCTCCTCGCTTTCGTTCAGAAGTTCAAAGAGATCTTTTTCTTCTTCCTCAGACTCCTGTTCCTCTTCACCCTGCTCGTCAGCGTCTTCGTTTTCGTCTTCGCCTTTTCCTTCGAGATCCTCCTTAGCTTCTTGTTCCCCATTTTGATCATCTACAGTCTCTGGAGGAGCTTCCTCTTCCTCCACATCAGCCATTTGATTGAGTTTAAGGGGTTATTGATAGTAGTTGGAGTTGAAAGATATAAAACTACATAGTCGAAAACAAATTTGGAAGAGACATTGTTCACGTAAAAATCAAAGAATAGTAACTAAAACAAACTAAAAGTTTGAAAAGAAGAATTTCCTCCTTGACAATTTTTTTAACCACTGTGAGTACCAAAAGAGTTTGGTGATTTTTAAAATCAATTTGTATAATTTCTCTACATTAAATACCGTTTTTAGCACAATGTCATTATCATTAAGTTACTAAATAATTTTGTTTATAAATTAACAACCATACCAACCGATTGAAGACCACAAATTTAAAACTATGCTCGCCTTGCACCATTTCAACCTATATTACTTCCGCCAGTAAAAACGCAGTTTCGATGCTCCACACAACATCTTTTTATTCCTCTAGCACGCCATTTTCTCTAGCCCTTAATGCACGCATTTCCGCTTCCCCTATCGTTCGTCCGTTTTTTTGTTCTGCCATCATGAATTTTATGTTTTATTGCAGCTGTTGCGCTGTCAACGCCCCTTCCTCTGCCCTCCACTTCGCTGATTCACGCTTTTATTGGCACAGTGATTTCTGGTGGCTGAATCCGGCGGATTACGCTTCAAGGCGCACCATTCGCCCGCTCCTTGGCATTCGCATTAATCATAAAAATTCTGTGCCCCAACTACAGAATGCAGTTTAATTTGGCATGAAGTGCAGTTCGCGGCAGGGTCGCTTCATCGTTATATCGGTAGTTAAGCGGTTTATAACCGATAACAACCTGTAAGCCAGGGCGCGCATTTGATGACTGGACCCAACGACACAAGTTGCTGTTTTTATGGCGTCATATTTTTATGGCTGCAACCATCGTGATGACATCAAACTGGTGCAAGAAATGGCATAATGGATGGATAGATCTGCATAAAATGTACGCCAAATGTGGATACAAAGATGTCGCTTTTAGTTGTAAGAAAAGTGAACAATGTATGTCCAATAAATGAAAATGATAGAGTGTGTGAGCATGAAATACTTTGCTTAATTTAATAAATAACAGTATGCTTTGGAAATAAGTAAACTATATTTTTATTAATTCAAAAAAATCAATAATTTATTTAGTTCTAACTTAAGGATTTCATTCCCTTCCACTTGAGCGCGGTTTGAAGTCTGTTTGTGTTTTGCTGGTTAACCTTCAGTTTCCGGTTTATTTTTGGCATGATTCCCGCAGCCATTTGCTCTCGCGTCCCTGAAAATGACAGTTGGATTAGCAACCAGCAAACACACACAGCCATGACACAAATTGCCGACCCTTGTTTTCCGAGGAGACTGAGCATCATTAGCCTCTGGGCTTCTTGGGCGTTATCACAGTTGAATGCTCTTCGATTCGCTTCAAGTCAGATTACGCATACGACACGTTAAACGCTTAAAGACGGCGCCGTCTTTTGTAAATCAAATAAAGGACACAATTTCATTAACAAAGTTGAGAACAAACATAGGCTGCCTCTATCCTGGCACACACATCCTTTGATTTTTTCCCGAGCTTTTCTTTCCTTTTCCAGGATTCCTTTCAGCCTGTGTGCAAGCTGCATGCAAGTTTTGGCCGCTCAGACTTTTGTTTTCTTTTGTCTTGCTTTTTTTTCTCTGCTATTGTTGCAACGGAGAAGGGGATGTTTTTTTGTTTATGCCTCTACTGCATAAAATGATTTCATTAAAAAAGTTGTAAACTTTTTCATTTAATTTAACTGCAGCAAACAACATCTTTTGTGCAGCCTTTCTTCTTCTGCGCTTTTCCATGCCTCCTGTACCGCCTTTTTTTCCACTGGCAACTATCTTTTCAGTTAGCATCTGCTGCCAGGACTCAGGCTCAGACTTAATCTGCCCGCAGCCCCTGCAGTCCCCGATTTTTTTTTGGATAGGTTTCAATTAAACTTTTCCATTTCAATTCATTGTGAATTTGGTAATCTGCGTTTACAAGATTTCCCTAGCAGATGGTGACCAATACAAGTCGAGAAAAAATGATTTGTGACAAAGGGGACTTGCTTAAGGACCTCTTATGACTACAACTACATATTCAACTTTTGGTTAAGTCCCTCTAACTTAATCTGTTTTCTGCCTTACTCCAACATTGCTTCATTTACTTAACGGTTAAAAAATGCTTGTACATTTTGTACTGATGAATATTTATCGAATGAATATAATAAAATTCAAAATTATGCTTAGCACATCACCTAGCTTTAATGCAAACCGAATAAACATGCTTCCCTAATTTGACATACATCTGATAATTTTCTCATCTAATTCCCATAATTTTTCATGCCCCGCCCCTCTGGGTATTTGAGGTCCCGAATCCAGCGGAGCTTGACTTCCTTTTTTGTTATTCTTTTTAATCATCCAACATTCACAGAACATAATTCAATTAGGGCCACAAAAGATGGTTCGTGTGGGGGTGTGGGGGTGTGAGAGCGTTCTGGGACCACCCCCTCCCCGGGCAGGCCCTCATCATGTGGCACGACAACATGTCGTATTAGTAATATTTAAACACAAAAGCTCAGCAAATGTTGACATGCGTTGCCATTAGACGGACGTAGCGATGCATTCTGACACGCACAAGGGATGACTGCGAGAGGGCGGGGGTGTCGAAGTAGGCGGGGCAGACCTAAAAGGAAATTCAATTTTCGCACAAAGAAGGTTGAGAGGAAAAAAAAAACAAAGACGTACGAACACCAATCACAACAACAATAATAAGCTGCTTAGAAGCTAGCGATGCGAAAGTGAAGAAATGCGTTGTAATTCCACATGATGAGCTGGGGCTCGGTCCCATCCCCCGGGGAGAGGGGGTTGCTCGCGAGGGGGTGGCATTAGGCCACTGTGTAGCTTGCATGTCAAGGAATGCGGTTGCATGTGCCACGAGAAAGACTTCTCTTTTCAAGCGACACTCTCCCGCTTGGAAAACACCCTGTGAATACTGCACTCATAAAAAAGACGGCCATTTTCTTCTCTAAATCGAAAACTATGTTTTTATACAACGAAAAACAAACCAAATTTACGTCAAAGAAAATGTAGTGAATATTTTTTTTATTTTCAAAGTAACCATTATTCAATGCTAATATTTCTAATTTAAACAAATGCTTTTCCGAGTGTTAAAGTAGGGGTGTGTGTCCATGTGTGTTGTGTATATCTTTCTATGAAATGTGTCATGTTGACAGCGTGGAAATGTCACTCATGCGGCATCGTAATGAGTTTTGCCAACGTCAGCGGCATTGCAACAAATTCAGCAACAACAGGAATCCCAGCAAGTCATTACTTTGGTGGCTAAGAGAAACGAGGGGGAGAAATCCCTTCGTTACATTGTTTGATCAAAAAGCAAGAGGAAATCATTGGTATATTGAAATACTTTCCTTCGTCAGAACGTTGGATCAACAATTAAAAATCAAAGGAAATAAAGATTATTATTACCGCTGAGAAAATAAAACGAATCGAATTTAGCTAAACTAAGCCAAAGCATCTGGTATGTACATTTTGTCTTAACAGCCTTCTAGTATCTTACTTTTAAATGTACCAAAATCTTAAGGTAATAACTTTCTTATTTCTCAGCTACTTTCACTTGCGACTTTATGAAAGTCACTTTACGTAACTGCATCACAATATTCATAAATCTTACGTTTTCCCGAAACATTAGGAGGACTTAATATACAATATTCCTTTGCTAGCCTGGCAACAATTCAAAACTATGAAGATAAAGAAGGAGAGGGGAGAGTGGCGATACTATGATTGAGAGACAAAAGCCAAAAACCGCACAAGAGAATAAGAAGGGGATAAACTTGCTGTTGGCCATCAGAAAAGTGTTTTGCTCGAGAGGGGGCGGGGTCTTTTTTCCACGGCCCACCTAAACAATGAGCCTAACTATATAGCACACAGCATATAGTATGAACGGACGTAAAACGTAGCCGTAGACGTAGACGTTAACGTAGACCGGAACTGAGAGGAAAGTAGAGAAACGAGGAGAAAGCAGAGCAACCATCGTAGAATTTCCATTGTAGTAGAATTTCACAATAATTGCAATGCAGTTGTACTAGAGCGCACACACACAAATATAAATATATATTGTATATATAGTATAGTTGTAGTATGCTCTATATACTTTTGCCTTTTTCGGTCAGAGCGAGTCAGAGGCATGGAGAGAGTGGGAAGCGAGAGTGAAAGAGAATGCAGCGAGGAAAATATCGATCGATTTTTAAATGAATTTAGGTCACAGCGACCCCAACCCTTCAGCCACTCAACCCCCTTTCCCTGGGGCAACTGCAGTCGCCCCCCCTTCCCCCAGGGGCGTGATGTGCGGAGGGTTTGCATCTCGTAGATACAGCCGAAATGAAAATGTCAGCTGCCTTCTGCTCACGTAACTTATTTAATTCAAATCAGATGGGGAAAATAGATTGAAATGGAGGCGGTTTCCCCACTTCTTAAGTTTTCCTTTTTGGGAAAATGTCTGGGGAGTAGCTTGAGGGTGGGGATGTATAGGAGTAGGAGGAGCAAACCTCACACGCACTCGTCTTTTCCATGGCCTTGGCTTGACGGAAGGAGGCAACTATAGTGCATTCAAATCTTACACAGCGAACAACTTTTATGTTTAGTGAAATAATACTGGGCTGACTAACTTATACTGTATGGATTCTCTCCGATTTTGGACTAACATATGAAACTTAAATTATTGAAAATGTACTATTCAGGATTGGTATAAAAACTTAAAGTGAGCCAGGAGTAAATCTTGGATGTCTGCGAAGAAAATATAAACCCTTTTCAGATATCCACTCTGAATTTTCATAACAAACTTTTCTTACACGTTTCTCTAAGTGCAGTTTAGCACCCGTGGACCTCCGCCCCCCTGGATTGCCCATGCCAGACACGCGCCATCAACATGTGCATTTTACGAGCCAAAAAGAAAGATGACAGGGGGAGCAGGAAAAAGGAGGCGAAACATTGTTGATGTCTTGGGAAAAACCTGATGTATGTAGCTACCCCCGCTGAATGATGATTCCACCCAAACCAACGTTGCAACTAATTTTACGTTTTTATGACACTCCCGCTACG